ATTTACTTGCCTCCTACCTCAGTGAAGCCAGCTGTTCTTGTCTGTTTAATGTTGCTACAACAGAATACCTGAGGCTGGGTCATTTGTAAAGAAAAAAGGTTCTGAAAGCTGGGAAGGAGAGAAGCATGACACTGCCCTGGTGAGGGCCATGTGCTAAGTCAAAGAGGAAGTGGACACGTGCAGTGAGAGAGGACCCAACAGGAGGAGAATTGCTTTTTTTGCTTGTTTTTTTTTTTAAGAGACAGGGTCTCACTCTGTTGCCCAGGCTGGAGTATAGTAGTATAATCATAGCCTACTACAGCCTTGACCTCCTCAGCTCAAGAAATCCTCCCACTCAGACTCCTGAGTAGCTGGGACTACGGGCACGCACCACCAAGCCCAGCTAGCTTTTTTATTTTTTTGTAGAGACAGGGTCTCACTATGTTGCTGAGGCTGGTCTTGAACTCCTGGACTCAAGTGATCCTCCCACCTCAGCCCCCCAAAGCACTGGAGCTACAGGCATGAACCACCTCACCCGGAATTGCTCTATAACAACCTGCTCTTGTGGTAACTAAGCCGGTTTTGCCAGAGCACGACTCACTCGTGAGCATGAGGATGGCACCAACCCATTCATGAGGGATCTACTCCCCTGATCCAAACACCTCCCACTGGGCCCCATCTCCCAACACTGCCACACCAGGGACCAGATTTCAACATGAGTTTTGTTGGGGACAAGCAAACCATATTCAAACCGTAGCACCAGCATATCCTACAAAAAGCACTCCCAGAAAGCCACCGCTGTCTGCAGAGATCGCAGTTCTGACTCCCTCCCTTCAGACGCCCTTCCATGGGAAAGGCCTTGAGTTGGGGAGGACAAGCCCTGGAAGCTGGAGACCAGCCCTGCAGCAGGGTGCGAGACAAGGGCACCCTGGGCACCTGGGCTCCCCCTTGTTGGGAGTTGGTCAGCAGAGGGATAATTGCACACACTTCTAGATGACTTTTCAGAATGGTGCACAGCAGCCCCTTTGCTGGCTTTTGCACAAAGAAGCAGGGGCAGGTGGAATCAAAGGCACTTTGTGTTACTCAGCTGACAGAACATTGCCTGTGCACAGCTGGTTCGTAGATTCTGTGTGCAGTCCAGAGGGGGAGGCGCCCCTTCCCTCACCTCCAGCCCACACACTTTTCAGATGTGCTTTTCAGTTCCTGCTTCGTATTCCAAGGGACCAGCTGAGTCAATCAATTGGCACAATCAGTGCAGGTTGTTTTCTGTCCCACAGGATACAAAACAAACAAAACAAAATCATTGAAGACTAAGGATGGGGAGCTGGGGGTGGGGAGGCACTGGCAGGCACCGTAAATGCATTAAGAATCACACAGCTGCGTCTCCGATGGCTGAAGCAGCCAAGTGATTTTTGACGTTCTTTTTTCCTTTAATTATTATGGTGCTGGTAAGCCAGGTCCATAAGAAAATGATAAACACTTCTCTCTGAAATTTTGAGATGGCTTCAAGCTATTTGGGCAAGTAAGGTGTATGTGTGTATGGGTACATTCTTAGTGGGTGAAAGTTTCTGCATATTTTTAAAAAATGCAAGAGAGAGAGTTGGTTTTGACATGAATATTTGGTTTATTTTTTTCTAAAGTACCAATAGAAGAGTGAGTTTTATGTGTTGTCTGCTCCACTCATTGTGCCGCTTTCGGGGCCTCTTTCATGTTAGCTAATTTTTTATGCAGTTTTCTTTTGCCCTTGCCTCTGATGACATCATACACAGGCTCAAACTTCAGAACATTCGATTAAAAATTGTTATGTCCTACAACTCTCCATGCTCCCACTGATGATAATTCATGGCAGTCGACATTTTCCAATTTGTGTGAAGCACTTCTAGGCAACTGTCTGGTTTCCATTTTGAAGCTGGTTATTAGAATTTTCTTTAACCTGAAAGAAGTTAAGCAATTTTCCCACTTGTTAACATGCTTTTAGTGTCAGATGCCATTAGCCACAAGTGCCTTCTCGGAACACCTGGCCCAGAAGGGATAGTGAACGTGCTTGTGTGCCAGCATCTGTGGACCTTACGTGTGTCTGGTACTGGTCCTGCTTTTGATTAGTTTGATGCTGTCATAACCCACTAACATGGTCAAAGTAGATTTTTCATGGTTGCCATTGCCCCCGCCTCTCCCTCATCTCCACACCAGCAGGCTCAAGTCCCAACTGCTCTCTCTCCTCCCCATTTTCAGTGGCTCCCCTCTCTTCCCTGCCCTAGGGCCTGCCCTGATCACTTGTCTGTGCCACTGGAAGAGTCCCCTGATTTATCTCCCTACCTGGTCTTTCCCATTCAAATCTGTTCTGGACTCTGCAACCAATTTTCTTTGTAAGACGTAGATGTTATCATGTTTGACTGATGCTCAAGACTATGCCATGGATTCTTTCCAAAAATAAGAACCTCAGCATAGCATGTTCAGCCCTCTGTGCCACAACCTCACCCTGGGTTTCAGGCTTTCATTGTAATGCAGGTGCTTCCCACCATGCAGGCTTTGCTCTGCTTCTGCTCATGTCCTCACTACCTTGCCATTCTCCAGGCCTCCAGGGCTCATGCTGCAGGTTGTGGCCTCTGCCTGGCGTGACTTCAGCTCCTCCTTCACTTGCCACATCCATTCAGACACAGCTCAGATGTGACTGCCCCCCAAGCTGTCCCTGATCCCAACGAGAAGCAACCACTTCCCCCACAGTCTCACAGCTCTGTGTTTGAATAATATAGTAAGCAATATATTAACTGATAATACAGTAGGCAGTATATTAACTGATAATACAGTCGGCAATATATTAATTGATTTATTCAGTACGTATTTGACAAACAATACTGAATATGTGCTGAATTGATGTCTATGTAATTACACTTTGTAATTCATATTTGATGAATTGATTTCTGCATATTTAAACACATACACCTGTGCCTGGGGAAATGATAGAGATGGATATAGAACAATTAAAAAATACAAGCTCAGGATGTTACAAATCGTCATATAGGATCAAGTGGGCTAGCAGTGTCCAGTCAGAAAAACTGTACTGACCAACTTGAACCTGATCAATGCTGATCACCTAAAAATGGAAAGCGTAGATATATTCCATTTGGTCACTTTAGTTATTGAAAGCCAACCTATGTTTAAAAATTTGAGGATACACTTTTTTATTTTTTCAAGATAGAGTCTCACTCTGCTGCCCAGGGTGGAATGCAGTGGTACAGTCTGGGTTCACTGCAACCTCCATCTGCCAGGTACAAGAGATTCTCCCCCCTCAGCCTCGTGAGTAGCTGGGACTACAGGCATGCACCACCACACCGGGCTAATTTTTGTAGGTTTAGTAGAGATAGGGTTTCCCCATGTTGTCCAGACTGGTCTCGAACTCCTGACCTCAGGTGATCCACCTGCCTAGGGCTGCCAAAGTGCTGGGATTACAGGTGTGAGCCATCACTCCCAGCTGAGGATAGGCATTTTTAATACATGTTTGCTTTACATTTCTTTTTTAACCTTGGTGCAGAAATGAAATATATTTGGTCTTTGTCTCTGGTTCCTGACACTGAGCTCTTAAAACCCTTGGGATTTTATGAGTGATGAGAGCATCTTTTACTAAAATCTAACTTTATGCTAATGATGACTTAGAGTGGAGCCCTTAGCTAGCCTCAGGATGGGGTGGGTCTCCAGAAAAACCTAATGATTGGAGAGGTGGAAGTTTTTCAGCCCCACACACCAACCTCCAGCGAAGCAGGATAGAGGCAGCTAGAGATCACACTCTCTAAAAACTCTTCAACAACAAGCTGTGATGAGCTTCTGGGCTGCTGAATATATACACGGGGGTGCTGGGTGGTGGCACATCCACAGAGGGCATGGAAGCTTGGCGTCATGGCCCCATACCCAGGCCTACGCACCTGTTCATCTGGTTGCTTGCCTGTTTCCTTTAAAATATCCTTTATAATAGACCAGTAAATGTGTGTTCCATGAGTTCTGTGAGCTGCTCTAGCAAATAAATTAAACCTAAGGAGGATGTCGTGGGAACCCTGATTGATAGTATAGAAGAAAGCCTACTACCGGGGACTGGCATCTGAAGCGGGGGCGGCATTTTGTGGGACTGAGCCCTCAGCCTATGGGATCTGACTCCAGGTAGAAAGTGTCAGAATGGAAGCGAATGAGAGGACACGGAGTTGGTGTCCACTGGAGAGTTGCTTGGTGTGGAAAAATCCGGCACATCTGACCACAGCAGTGTTCTGTGCTGGGCTGAATGTGCGAGAGGAGGAAAAGCACTTTGGCTTTTTCCTATCTCTTACCAACCCCTAATAGAAGCAATGTAGAATTATTTATGTGAGACTCCAGTGCTTTCATAACATGACTATTCCGTGTCATGGAACATGACTATTCCAACAAAGAAACTCTATGTCATCATAGACAGTTTCACAGCTCATAAAGGCATTTCAGAGGCGAGTAGGGCTTTGAGGGCTGGACTTTCCATAAGTCTTTCTTGGCTTCTAGAACTTTCATGATGTTGAGAGTACCTGCCCATGTCTAACACCTACTATATTGGCACTGTACAAAGAACACACACACGGGCCGGGTACGGTGGCTCACTCCTGTAATCCCAGCACTTTGGGAGGCCAAGGCGAGCGGATCACGAGGTCAGGAGATCGAGACTGTCCTGGCTAACATGGTGAAACCCCATCTCTACTAAAATACAAACAATTAGCTGGGCTTGGTGGCGGGTGCCTGTGGTCCCAGCGACTTGGGAGGCTGAGGCAGGGGAATCACTTGAACCAAGGAGGCAGAGGTTGCAGTGAGCAGAGATCTGAGATCGTGCCACTGTACTCCAGTCTGGCGACAGAGCAAGACTCCATCTTAAAAAAAAAAAAAAAAAAAAGTACACACCTACACAAACAGCACACACAGAGATGTGTATTTCTAACCACAATGCTGTTACATTACTATCAAACCCATTTTCCAGATGAGAAAATGAGTCAGAATTTAAGTAACTCACCCCAGGCTGTCCTGTCTAGAGTAGCAGGCAGGCTGCAGCAACCCAAAGCCTGTGTTCTTTCTACCGAAGCACATTACTTCCGTACGAAACTCCGTGGAGACACAGACCTATGGAAATTAACCTTGTGTTTTATTGATGTGACTTGTGATTTCATGGCAGGAATGTTCGTTTTCCTCTCCGCTGTTGTGTTTGCTTTGAACAGCGGTTTGTCCTTTGGCAGAGGACCCATCTAGCCTGGGGCCCCATTGGCAGCGCCAACTCTGGTGCGTTTCATCAGCTCGGCAGCAGCAGATGCTGTCCATTAATCTCACTCAGGGTCTCAGCTCTGTGACATGAGGTCACTGCAACATTGCTTCTCCCTGCGCTAGCTTCTCATTGTCTGAGGAATGCAGGAAAATCATTCTGACGATATCCGCCAGCCTGGCTCATCTGGCTTGACCAGTTCTAGGCTAAAATCAAGCTACAGCTCTCGAGAGCCATAGATTCCATGTGCTGCTCTCCTAGATGATTTCGCGGCTGCCAACCAACCCTGCAGCAGGAAGAAGGGAGAAGAGAAGGAGAAGACAAGTTTGTAAACCTGAGTTGTGTTTGGAAGCCCAAGGTTTTCTAAAAAATCTTCTCTAGAAGTTGATGAATCTTTTTTCAATGGAATGATTCAAAATAACTGACACTCTTATTAACCTCATGGCAGAGCCAAGATAACACCTTACACTTTGATTCAATGATGCAAAAAATAACCAGTTGAAAAGTCAATGTGTTTTTTTCCCAAAGAACAGTGCTGTGTTGTAGAAAGGGCAGTGGATTAGGAATCAGAAGGCCAATGTGGGTCATGGTTCCTCTCTGCGAACTCTCTAACACTGGAACATTGAGGAAATCACGGAACTTCCATGAAGCAACTTCTATCAGTTGTGACAGCAACTATTCACAAAATACCTATAATATTAGCAGTAGTACGGTCTCCTTAGAGATGCTGGATTTCCAGTTTGATGGGCGTATTCTCATGGATGGAATGTTTTTCAGTGGGGCGACACTAACTGGCTGTTGGAGATCTGTGTGGGGACACGACCGTCACATATGATCCACAGGCACTTCTCTGGTTCTCTGTGGCTGGTTCTGATTTTATTCCAAGTTTCTGAATGAAGTGGTTTCTATCCCGATGTGCCCTTCCTATCTTTTCTTCCTCTCTCTCCCCTCATTTCAGCCTCCTCCCATTCTCACTTCTAACCTCTACCCCATCTCCAAAACACTGGGAAGTCTGCATTGAGACGATAAGGTCATAGTATTAGCACACGTTTGTATCAAGTTCTCACAATGTCTGAAATGTGGTTATGATTCCATGATGTCTCTAATCCCTACTCACCCAGTTCTTAAGAATCAAGGGCAACCCCGCTTGGGTCCCTTTCCACGCTGTGGAAGCTTTGTTCTTTCGCTCTTCACAATAAACCCTGCTACTGCTCAAAAAAAAAAAGAACAAAAAAGAGTCATGAATGATAAGGAAATATATGGACTAAATGTTTGGAATTACTTAATAATGTTTCACATTTTATAGTGTGTAAATTAGTATTATTGTCACATGTATCATTCAGAACACAGTAATATTGAATTAGAGCCCACATTTTTGACCTGTCATGTCATGGAAAAGAAAGAGGACATGCTGACTTTTCCAATTTCTTCTATTGTCTCTTCTGAAATAAAGTAGTTTTATGTCCATCATTGAAATATAATAAAATTGGCAGGGCATGGTGGTTTACGCCTCTAATCCTAGCACTTTGGGAGGCCAAGGTGGGCAGATCACAAGGTCAGGGGTTCGAGACCAGCCTGGCCAATATGGTGAAACCCCATCTCTACTAAAAATAGCAAAATTAGCCAGGTGTGATGGCAGGCACCTGTAGTCCCAGCTACTTGGGAGGCTGAGGCAGGAGAATTGCTTGAACCCAGGAGGCAGAGACTGCAGTGAGCCAAGATCATGCCACTGCACTTCAGCCTAGGCAACAGAGCAAAACTGTCTCAAAATAAAACAAAGAATTCACCCGTATTATTCATTGTGCTATAGATTTTAAAAACTTCTTCACTCCCTTTATCTTCTATTATCACCCTTTAGGGAGACATGGAAAACCTTTTATCTGTTTACTTCAGGGAAATTAGATACTGAATAATTGTAATGTATTCAGTGTTAATTATAAATACGCAGCATATGTTTTTATATGTATTGTATTTATGTGCTTTAGGTAATTATACATGTGAGCTCCTTGCCAATTTTATGGCCAAAATATTTTACTTGGCTGATTACTAAGTGTATTTTAAGCTTACTTCTTGAAATATGAAGAGAATATACTATAAATCCAATTAACATAATTTATCTGCCTAAAGAGAATGGTTGCTTTTATTTTTTTTTCTCTATTTTAATGATGAAAAACAGTTGTAAGAGTACGGAGTACTTAATTTGTTTTTAAAGCTTTCCAGGCCCAATTTTGTTGTTTTCTTTTAAGAGGAAAAGATAATTTTTAAAGAAATTTGGAAATTTTAAAGAAAGCATTAAAAAAATCACCTACAACTCACTATCAGTTTTCAATAATTTTCTGTCTAATATTTTAAGACATTACAATCTTAATATAAAGAGTTTCATGTCTTATTTTACACTTAATGTTATATCCCAAATGTTTCCTTTATCTTTGCCATGAACGCTGCTATAAATAACTCTTTAGATTTACCTCCATTGCTTTCTAAAGCTATATTTCAAGAGATGAAATTACTAGTTCAAGTATATAAAATGCTTAAGATTCATTACATACTCCTGTTTTGACAACCTGTTTTCATGAAGGTTGCATCAGCTCACATTCGCATCAGCACTCTGTAAGAATGGTTACTTCAATTCCTCACTAAAATGGCTATTAAACTTTTAAAAAATCTTTGCCAATTTGATGAGTGAAAAAAGATTATTTCCTTATTGTTCCATTTGAAGCTATTCGTGTCTTCATATGTTTACTGACCATGTGAAAATTTTCTTTTGTGAATTGTTCATATCCTTTGCATCTTTATCTACTGGAGTATTATTTGTCTCCTGCTTATGTGTATAAGCTCTTTTATTGCCTACCTTGCCTTTCTTCTATAGAAACATGTTGTTAATTCTCAGTATTTGTGTTTCCATAATTTTAGAATCACCTAGTCCATGGGAAACGTGGACAATTCAGACAGTCAGCTTTAGGAAAAACTCTGTATAGTTTTGTTTGAAATTTCATGGGATGCATTTATAAATCTTGGAAGAATTGTCTTCTTGGCGGTATTAGGTGTTCCTATCCATTAATATGATTTATGCCTCTATTTGTTTGGATCTTCTTTAATGTTTTTCAATAAAGCTTCAAAATCTTCTTTATAAATCCTGTACATCTTTTGGTTTGATAAGATTAAAGTATGCCAACTAATTGGATAGCCTAGAAGAACTGGATAAGTTCCTAGAAATGTACAACTTATTAATGAAGAAATAGAAAACTCAAATATAGCAATAACAAGGAGATTCAATCACTAATCAAAAATCTCCCACAAAGAAAAGTTCATGTCCAGATGGTTTTACTGGTGAATTCTACCAAACATTTAAAGAAGAATTAAGGCTAGTATTTCTCAAATGCTTCCAAAAAAGCTGAAGATGACAAAACACTTCCAAACTCATTTTACAAGGCTAGTATTACCCTGAACAAAAAAGCCAGATAAGGACCCTGTAAGAAAAGAGAATTAACCAATATCCTCAGTGAACATACATCCCAAAATTACCCACAAAACACTAGCAAGTCAAATTAAACAGCACATTAGAAGGATCACACACCATAATCAAATGGGATTTATCCCTGGGGTGCAAGGACGGTTCAACATATGCAAACCAATAAGTATGATACCGCACATTAACAGAATGAAGCACATAAATTATATGATCATCTCAATATATGTAGAAAAGGCATTTCTCAAAATTCAACATCCTTTCATGATAAAAACTCTCAACAAATTGTGTATGGAAGGAATATACCTCAGCGTATATGAAAGGTCATATATGAAAGGTTTCCAGCTAATATACTCAACAATGAAAAGCTGAAGGCTTTTCTTCTAACAAGACAAAGGTGCCCACTCTCACCAGTTCTATTCAACATAGTACTGGAAGTCCAAGCCAGAGCAATTAGGCAAGAACAAGACATTAAAGGCGTCCAAATTGGAAAGGAAGAAGCAAAATCGTCTCTGTTTATATGTAACATGATCTTATATATAGAAGTACCTCAGAGACTCCACCAAAAGCTGTTAGAACTAATAATCAGTATTACAAAATAAACATGCAAAAATCAGTTTCACTTCTCTACACAAACTATGTTAAAATGAAGTAAGAGGAAAAATCATATTTATAATAGCATCAAAAAGAATAAAAATACTTAGAATAAATTTAACCATGGAGGTGAAAGATCTATACACTGGAAACTAGAAGACATTTACAAAAGAAATTGAAGATACACATAAGTGGAAAGATATCGCATGTTCATGGATTGGAAGACTTAATATTGTTAAAATGCCCATATTACCCAAACTGACCGATAAATTCAGTGAAATCTCCATCGAATTTCCAATGGCATTTTTTAACAAATAGGAAAAAAAATTCTAAAATTTGTGTGGAACCACAAAGGACCCCAAACAGCCAAAGCAATCTTAAGAAAGAATAAAACTATAGGCATTACACTCCCTGATTTCAAACTTGATTGCAAGCTACAGTAATCAGATCCTAGCATAAAAACAGACACAGAGACCAATGGAACAGAATTAAGAGCCCAGAAATAAACTCATGCATATATGATCAACTAATATTTTACAACAGTGCAAAGAATACATGATGGGGAAAGGATAATCTCTTTAATAAATGGTGTTGGAGAAACTAGATATGCACATGCAAAAAAATGAAATTGGATTCCTGTCTTATACTCACAAAACTTAAATTGAAATTGTTCAAAGACTTAAACATGAGACCTGAAACAATAAAACTGTTAGAAGAACGCCTAGAGAAATACCCCCGACATTGGTCTTAGCAGTGTGTTTTTCTTTGGTTGGTTGGTTGGTTGCTTTTTTAGGACCCACTACAAAGCAGTCAATGACTTTTTGGATATGAAACCAAAGACACAAGCAGCAAAACCAAAAGTAGCAAGTAGATTTATATCAAAGTACAAAACTTCTGCACGGCAAAGGAAAACAATCAACAAAGAGAAAAAGCAACCTACAGAATGAGAGAATATATTTGAAGACCATATATCTGATAAGAGGGTTAATATCCAAGATATATAAGAAATTCGTACAACTCAATAGCAAAAAAAAAAAAAATCCTTAAAAATGAGCAAATAACCTGATACATTTTTCCAAGGAAGATATACAAATGGTCAATAGGTATAATAAAAGGTGGTCAACATCACTAAGCATCAAGGAAATGCAAATCAAAACCACAGTGAGATATCACCTCACACCTGTTAGAATGACAAATCAACCTAAGTGTTGGCAAGGATGTAGAGAAAAAGGAAACCTTGTGCATTGTTGGTGAGAATGTAATTTTTTACCACCATTATGGAAAACAGGATGGAGGTTCCACAGAAGGTTAAAAATAGAATCACCTTAAAGAGACATCTGGACTCCAATGCTCATTACAGCATTATTCACAATAACCAAGACATGGAATCAACCTAAATGTTTATCAATAGATGAATGGATAAAGAAATTATGGTGCATATATGCAGTGGAATATTATTCAGCCACAAAAAAAGAAGTCTACCCTGCCATTTGCAACAACAAGAGTGAACCTTGAGGACATTATGCAAAAGGAAATAAGTCAGAGAAAGATAAACACTATGGTTTTAGTTACATGTGGAATCTAAAAAAGTCATAGAAACAGAATAGAACAATGATTGCCAGGGGGTGGAGGGTTAGAGGAAATGGAGATGGTGGTCAAAAGGTACAAACTTTAGTTATTAGATGAAGAAGTTCTGGGAAACTAATATACAGCATGGTACCGCATGGTGACTATAGTAATTATACTGTATTATATACTTGAAATTTGCTGAGACTTAAGTAGATCTTAAATGTTCTCATCACACACACAAAAGTAACTAAATTAGATTATAAGATGTGTTAACTAACTTGATTGTGGTAATCATTTCACAATATATATGTTACATGAAATGTTTTAAAAACTTTGGTTGACAAGTACCCTTAATTGGTTATCAGTTATGATTAGGTTAAGGAAATTCCCTTTAATTCCTGGTTTGTTTATATTATTTACCATGAATAGATACTGGATGTGATAGGATACTTTTTAGCATTTTTTGAGATACAAAATAATTATTTGATTTCTCTTCTTTGGTGTGTTAACATAGCAAGTTAATATAACAGATATGTAATTTATATAATTAATATTATTATATACCAAAAAGCCAACCCTTCATCCTTGGGATAAACCTAACTTGGTCATGATATATATTAAACATTACTGAGTGCTGTTAACTAATCATTTTTCATTCATGTTCATAAGCGAGTCTAATCTGTTAATTATCCTTATTATATTTTCATATTGTTGTAGATTTTAGAATTAATTTTAGATTTTAGAATTCATATTAGAGTTAATTTAGATTTTAGAATTAATATCTGCTTTTTTAAATGAATGGAATCACATTCTGTAGTTTTTTTATTCTCTTAAAATTATCTTTCCCTTAAGTGTTTAAAAGTGACCTGTAAAACTGGCTAGATCTGGCATTTTCCTCATGCTAAAATTTTAGATTACTAATTTTTTTCAATAGTTAGTAGGACTGTTACAGATTTCTCATTTTTCTTGAGTTAATTTTGATAGTTAATATTTTCATATGAATTTCTACATTTTATCTTTTTTATTTAGAGGCATACATTTCTTAATATATTTTTATCTTTTAAATTTGTTTTTACTCATGTTTCTTTATCCCTTTTTCATCATTATATAGTTTATGCCTTCTTTTTTCCTTTAGCATTCCTGCCAGAGGTTTGTCAGTTTCATTAATCTTTTCAAAGAAATAACTTTTGTCAGCCGAGCGCAGTGGCTCACACTTGTAATCCCAGCACTTGGGGAGGCTGAGGCAGGTGGATCACCTGAGGTCAGGAGATTGAGACCATCCTGGCTAACATGGTGAAACCCTGTCTCTACTGAAAATACAAAAAATTGGCTGGGCGTGGTGGCGGGTGCCTGTAATCCCAGCTACTCAGGAGGCTGAGGCAGGAGAATCACTTGAACCTGGAAGGTGGAGGTTGCAGTGAGCCAAGATCGCGCCACTGCACTCCAAGCCTGGGTGACAAAGCAAAACTCCACCTCAAAAAAAAAAAAAAAAAAGAAAAGAAGAAAAAGAAATAACTTTTGTCTTTGTTGATCTTTAATATTACATTTTTAAACATTTCTTTTATTACTGTTCTTTATTAATTTCCTTCTACTTTCTTTGAGTTTATTCTTTTCTTATTTTTAAATGAGGTGCTAAACACATTAACTTGCCATCTTTTTTTCTGATATAAACATTGATTTGAGAGTATTGATTTTTCCTCTAAGTAACCGTTGTCATGCATCCAGTAAGTTTTGACAGATAGTATTTCTATTATCATTGACTGTTAAACATTTTTTAGTTTTTATTATGATTTATTTGACCCATGAATTACTTAGAAGATTGTGAGTTTATGAGCGTATGTTTTAGTATGAGAACTAAATTTTATCTGAAACTTTTATCTAAAAAAGATAAAATTTATCTTATCTTAAAAAGATAAAAAATTTATCTTTCTATTAATGATTTCCAACTTGATTGCATTATATGCAATCATAGAACATTCATTGCAATTTGTGAATACTAGTTAGAGCCTTAACATAGTCAGTTTTCTTAAATATTTTATGTATTCTTAAAAACAATGTTGAGCACGGTATTTTATACATTTTTTAGATCAAGCTTTTGTTCAAATTTTCTGTGTACTTAATTTCTGTCTATTTACTCTATCAGTTACTAAAAGAAGTGGGTTGAAAGAGGTAATATATTTTGAAGCTAAGTTATTAGGAAAATACAAGTTTAGAATTGCTATCTTTTTAAGTGAATTGAACATTTTATCATTAAGCAGTGATAGAATTATCTTTAGTAATGTTTTTCTTTACAGTTTATTTTGTCTAATTTCAGTATAACTTTGCCAGTTTCCTTCCAATTAGTATTTTTTCTAGAATATATCTTCAACCCCTCTATTTTAGTGGTGTCTCTTATACATAACATATAGCTAGATTTTATTATTTCAATCAAACCTCACAGCTTTTACCTTTAAATTCTACCGTTTTACCACTTAGTACATTTTTAGTTTATTGTGATTCATGATAGATTTGAATGCATTTCTATCACCTTATTTTGTACGATATGTTTCTTCCATTTGTTCTTAGGCTTCTCCCCCACCCTACCTTTTCTTCCCTGTACAGGAAGTTCATGTAAAATGGAGTGAGCATCTCTAATTTACCTTGATTCCATGGATCTCTCTAGTCTTGATCTTTACGTGAGTCCCTGACTACTGGCTTACTTTCCTTCTGTGAATTGCAGTGGTTCTGAAAGATGGGATTATATGTTCCATACCCTCTGCTCAGTTATTCATCTTCTCTTTTGTCACCGCCCCAAAGCCTAGACTTCAGCCAGGTCCATGCATCTTCCTCCACAGCTCCTGCTCCTTCTTGTTTTCATTCCACTGCTGAACCTTCAGAGCTTTGTCTAAAAGCTCTAATTTTTAAACAAGATCCTCCCAGTAAAAACATATTCTCAGGCATCAGAGGTTGTGGGGATTCAGCAGTACAGTAGGAATCATTGGTACATATAGGTCTTTTATGAGTTATATTTGCAATTCAAGACTGACAGCACTTAGAAACAATACAACTTGTCCTGTAAGTCTGGTGAGCAGAAAGGAGGAGAAAACGGAGCTTGCCAAACAGTTCAGAACTGATGGAAAAGCAGTTTGCTCAGAAGCCCCATATGGTTTGCCCATTTTCCTCTGCCCTTTGGAAATTCTTCTAAACATGAGTTCTGACTGTCAGCATGCGGTCCAGTAACATTTTCATTTCAGTCCCCAGCTCCTCTGCAATGGGGAGGCAACCGACCTACTCCAGTGTGCTTGAAACCGTTGTCACTGTGCCCAGGAGCACCAGGTAGCGCTGGTACTTCTCCCAGTAGATGGAGCATTAAGCTCACCAGAATTGCTCACTGTCGTGCTGTTCCCTGCTTTGTTGGTGGGGACTAAATCTTGTATGGAGTTTTCAGCGGTTTATGCTTCGTTTAGGGTCTTGATATCCAGTTTCCATGTTGGACTTCTTGTTTATATTTTGGCACAGGTCTCATTAATGTTGACCTCTTAACCATGTTAAAGAACCTCAAATAGGCTGCAGAACATGGAATTTGATCTATTTTTCACTAAATAAAATTTCTAAATTTATGTGTTTGAGTTCTAGCTATGACTACTGCATTGGTCAGATAATTTTAATGCTTTTTTAAAAATCTGCCAATGTTTGACATCAGTGTTCCCATAAAATAAATAAATGATTCTTCATAATTGCTTTTCCAGTGCTTTTCCCATGTGACTCTTTTCAGTAGTTTTCACTCCAGAATTGTTTGAGTAGTGGCTGTCATGATTCTTCTGAATTGGCGATTATGTCAGAACCATTTAATCAGTGCCTGAGCTGTGCTGGCATTGCGTTTGGAAGGCCATTTTTCAGAATGGCATCCACCTAAGCATTTGTTAAATTATTAGACCTATAAACTCTTCCCACAAGGACCCTCAGAAATACTGTTAGACATGCAGAGCCTTAGGGACACAGCCCTTTGCACCACCATAAGTATCTGAACTCTGTTAAGCAAAGTTCAAAACTTTGAGCCAGAATGGATAAGAGTCACGCTCTCTGTCCTCGGGAAACATCCCTCCAATGTCCTTGTCAAGAGCTTGCATACATTGTTAATCAAGGAAGAACTCACTGGGATTTTGAGTGACATCAGACACCATTCCAGCATCGCATGTTGAAGGATTACTAGCAGGGTTTCCCCTTAATTTATGAGACATATGTGATTATCCTTCAGCCTGCAGTCACTGTAGGAAACATGTTTCTTCTGCAACCTGCAACTGGTTGATGCTGTAAGAAAATGCATAAAAAATTAGTGCTCGATTTTGAAATTGTTATTAAACGGATCATAAAAATCAAAGCATCCCTCTTTTAGTTCTGTCCATTTGATTTATAAGGAGGCTAAAAATGGAATGTAGATTTCAATGGGGCCAGGTGTGGTAGCTACCTGTAATTTTAGCACTTTGGGAGGCCACGGCTGGGGAATCACTTGGGCCCAAGAGTTTGAGACTAACCTGGGCAACATAGTGAGACCCCATTTCAAAAAAAAAAAATTAAAAAATTAGCTGGGCATGGTGGTGTGCACCTGCTGTCCCAGCTACTCGGAGGCTGAGGCGGGAGGATCGCTTGAGCCTGGGAGTTTGAGGCCACAGTAAGCTATGATTGCACCACTACCCTCCAGCCTGGGCAATACTGTAAGAATCTGTCTAAAAGAAAAAAAAAAAAGACTTCAGTAGTTCCAGGAAACTCTTTGTGTTTAGAGCTTTATAGGTAGGTAAATAGATTGTTTTGCTGTTTGAGGCCTGAATGAGGTCAGAAAGTCTGAAAATCTTAAGCCTTTTCCTGGCCATTTTCTTGTGCTGCCTGACATAGGGCACACTCTGCTATAGTAAACTGCAGTTTGCTTTTCCTTCTGCTGAACCTCTCAAAACCTCTAACTCCTCCTTGAGAAAAGGGATTTGTGTCTATTTCATAGGACTGTTGTGAGAATGACATTTTGTGTATACATCTTTGTGTATGCATCAAGATATCAACAGATATTTTCACTGTGTTCTAGAACTGGGCCCCTTCATTCTTGGATCACTGCCAGTGTCTCTGATCAATTCAGTCATTATACCACCAGGCTTTGATTTCCTGAGTCACACTGAAATATTATTCACTTCCCTGTGCTTAGAAACTCACAGTACTTAAAGCCCTGAGTGTCTATGACCCCTTATTAGTGAGCTTCATCCTACCTCTCATGTATCTCCTTGTTCTGTGGTAAAAACCTCTCGCTTGGGTCATGTCCACGTGTTCCTTCATTTCCCCGCCACTGTCTTTGTTGCAGGCATCACTTGCCTCTGCTTGGAACCCATTTCTGTTCTCTACCTTTCCAAGTCCTTTAGGTTGGTTCCACTAGGACCAGTTCAAATCCTGCTCCTCCTTGAAGTCTTCCCACTCAACTCTTCCATCCCTCATGGATTTCTCCTTTCTCCAAACTTTCACAGCATGTTGGAGTCCCTGCAGCGTGATTTAGACTCTATTTACTACTCTCTGTCCTGTTTACTGCCTGTTTCATCAGTGTTACAACTAGACTGCATCTTCTCTGAGTAGGAGGACTTCAGTTCTTTGATTTGGTCTCCACACTGCCCGTTTTGGACAAGCAGCTCTTTAAAGGATTGTCGTATGATAGGTCAACGCAGACCAGTAATGCTTAAGTTTAACAACTGATCATAATTTCTTGGTTTTGAAAATGTTTAGTGCCAGGTAGTGGACTTCCTCATGGTGGTGGGAAGAGAAATCAACATTTTTATCCTAACAGCAGTTGATGTTATTGACCATCATCTATGGGCTGGGCACGGAGCTACTCACTTCCATGTGTGATCTCATTTAAGGGTCAGGACAGCCCTCCTCCCAGTAGACATGAGGAAACTAATCGTTAGAGAGCTCCGTCTCATATCCATGTCACCATGCTCATGAGAGGTACTGCAGTCTGAACCCCAGGGCAGCTGACTCTGGGGCTCATGCCATTTTACAACAACAACAACAAATACAATATCCATCCTCATCTTCCCTATGCTTTGAGTCTGTGAGACCTGTGAGACTTTGGGTCTGTGAGACCTGAAGAGGCGGAGGACAGGTTGGAGCATGTCTTCTATGTACATTAGATACCAGAATGTAGCCTGACAACTTTCTCCTAATTGTGAATGACAGAAAAAAAGGATGATTTGTAGAGATTTGCCAAAACTGTAATTTTTTTTTCTTTTTTTTTTTTTTTTTTTTTTTGAGACAGTCTCACTCTGTTGCCCAGGCTGGAGTTCAGTGACACGGAGTTTCTCTGCAACCTCCCCTGCCCGGGTTCAATTGATTCTCTTGCCTTAGCCTCCTGAGTAGCTGGGACTACAGGTGCATGCCACCATGCCTGGCTAATTTTTGTATTTTTTAGTAGAGACGAGGTTTCACCATGTTGGCCAGGCTGGTCTCAAACTCCTGGCCTCAAGTGATCCACCCATCTTGGCCTCCCAAAGTCCTCCAAAACTGTAATCTTTTTTATTTTTATTTTTTTCCAAGATACAAAGAAACAGTAGAAATGTTGGAAATTGAGCTTATTGATGGTGCACCTATATGATATTGATGTTAGGATTTTCATCATGTAAAGTGGCTTACTTTTATTTGTGTTGTTTGTATAACTTTGAGTAGTTGAAGTCAGGCTTACCTAGTGTTGAAAGTGAGACTTGAGCACAAATTTGCTTGAGTTAGCACTGGAGAGGCACTGCAGAAGGCAGCCAAAGGAGAGCAAAGTGTATTTTTCTTTTGCGTTTAAATGTTGTAATACTGTTTTGCAATAAGTGAAATATGTGTGATCACATAAAGGAGCAGTGGAGAAAAGATATTGAAATTCTAGGTCAATGGTTGATATACAGAAATAAACATATTTCCAAAAGTTAATATTACAGTTATATAAACTTCTATAATCTAACTAATTAAAAATCTTACAGACTAGAAATAAAGCTTGAAAATCGGCAAGATTTTTCTAAAGCTTGTTTTCTGTGCCTATGTGTTTCTGTGTGTTTCACATTCTCATGGCATGGCCAACTGGAAGGTATTCCATTGGTTATCGTAGCTATGCTACTAGGAGAGATATACTTTAAAAACATTTTCTGTTACTAACACAGTGAGGTGCTTTTAAAGGCTTGAGATAGCAATGATTTAAATGGAAAAGCCAATATGTTGTGTGCATCTGTAAGTACACATGAGTAGAGAGAGAAGTGGGCTAGAAGAAAAAAATTAACTATAGAAAAACATAAGCATGTCCACAAAGTAGGATTTTGGTTTCTCAATCTATAATATTATTTCATTTCCAGATTGTGAATGGGTGGCACACACTGTTTCTTTAGCTCTTTTTTGGCCAACCTCACATAGCTATTTCTCCATACCTACTCATATATCACCTAAGAAACTACCTAAATTGATCTCAAATGGATCTAATGAGAAAGACATGCCTGGCATCTTTGTAAAAATAATATCTATACAGCGGGCAAAGTTGCTTTAAAGTTTTTATTGGGAGCAATGCAAAATATTAAAGCATCTGTTGTTTCTGCAGCTTAACTTTTCTAATATTTTTACAGCAGCTAATTTAACCTGAGTGCACAATTCCAATGAAGGAAGTTGTAGGATAAAAAGGTAGAGCCGAAATGTATATAAATCTTTGGTGTCCTCGTAGATCTGATACACTGCCATACTTTCCTAAGCTTATGCAAAACAGAAAGTGAAGAAGCATTTTGCAGAAAACTAAATTATACATGAAGTCATTAAACCTCACCCTTCACTTCTGATTGAGGGATTGCTGCAGTTGTCTGAAAGCAGAGGCAAAATGAAAAAATAAATAAATGAAAGACCTGCTCACATTATACATTTCAGTGGAAATGTAATTGCCTAGAAATTCGTTTGAAGTTCTTGGGTATGTGCAAAACTACATGTAGCTGCTGAAAATAAGAAAAAGGTCGTGGCACAGAGCATCCTTGTGAGCCCAGAATCTAACCGTTACATGTGTGGGGTACAGAGGGCAAGAGGGAGGGTCGCCCTGGATGCTGTGCTACAATTCTGCATGTCCCAGTCAGCCCGAAACTCTCCTGTGCATTGAAATGTTTACTTGTTTTGTTGACTTGTTTTTCCACCCGGATATGTATTTATGTACATAACACACACTGTTTACTTCTTTTTCCAAAGGGGTTTTGTAACTGCCTCTTTGAAAGCATGTCTCAGTTGACAAACGGTTGTGAGATTCCCTTTTTTGAACATCATATATCCTCAAAAATGTTCTTATCCATCAAGGATGGTCTAAATGTGAGCATTGTGAAAGAATAACGATGTAATAGTGACCTCTGTCAAGGTTATCTTCCACGATGAGGAACGTGAAATGGAAAAGGCATGAAGTCGGCATCTGTGCGAGACTTCATAGCTCTCAAGCCCGATGTAGCAGGGCTGGAGAAAGAAGGAAAGGCCTTTTCTGACCCTTAATTAAAGGGACTTTTGCTGGCTCTTTGCAGATTGCTGCTGGCTCCCCATATAGCTCTTAATTAATTCCACCTGTATCATTACAAAGTAAGCCCTACCTGAAGAGTGGGTTAACAGCCGTGGTAAGCTCCCTGGACTGCATTTTCTTTCACTCGACACTGTGTCTTGAAGGCTCTGGCAGAGGGGTAGAGCTGCCTCTAGGAGCAGGCCTGTTTTAATCAGCACATCACAGGTCCATAGTAGTGAGACAGAGTGTCTCCCTGCTCACATGAACCGTGGCTTGACTAAGAACTCGGTGATAACAACACCTCTAAAAGAAATAAAACGTGAATGTTCACTGTGGAGAGGACGCTCAGAGAAGCAGAGCTTACCTGTGTGTTTCCAGCACTGACTCTCAGCCTGCAGAGGGAGAGCCATGCCTGCAGAGTTTGCAGTCTTCTGGCCCTGAGATGACATCCCCAGAAAGCTTTCTGCTTCGTGTACTCCAACCCAGTGCTCACCACACAGCCTCAGCTCAGGGATCTGGCTTTCTAGATAGTGCCACTGGCTAGGGCACAGCAGGCACAACAGACACTTGGAAAGAAAATCTCCCCATTTTAAATTCGTTTATTGGCATTCAGGGTTACACATCAGAGTCGCTTCCATTTAATGTGTGTGCAGCCATGACTGGAAATGATGCGTCTCTAAGAGTGGGAAGTGTACCCATCTGCTCGGGCTGCTAGACTGGGTGGCTCACACAACCGAAAGTTACTTTCTCACAGTCTGGAGGCTGGAAATTCAAGATCAAGGTGCTGGC